CTCGATACTAACTTTGTAATACACAGAATTCCATAGTCACTTTAAACTTAATAACCTTTAACTTTACTTATGGTGCCTACTGTTTGCTTGACTCAATTATCTATCTATTCAATCTATCTGCATATCTCTTCAATCTATCTATCTATGTAATTGTGCTGGTTTTTCTCGCCAGGCTTATATACTAAAAAAGTATATCTTCCCCGATAATTCACGATCCTCCCAGAAACTCCAGTGCGCATGCTCCCAGCATCATGCGACTTTCGCAGTCGTAACACTATGTAGTACAGTAGTTCTGTGTATTATCAAATACATACATATTAGGGTTAAAGTTTTTTCTTTTGTACAGTAGACTCACCAAGTTATTCCTAGTTCAAACTTTATCTAGGGGCTTCAAGTTATACTAAGCTCTAAATTACTTTACTTTTGTCTATTTAGCTGTGAAACTTCACTAAAATTCAACACTAAATGTTGTCTATTACATACACAAGGTACAAAAACCTGTAACCACTCATCAAAGGCTGCCATAAGCCCATAAAGCAAGGGCAGTAGTCAAAACTTCGAATTATACTGGTTTCACCAACTTTCCAGAAAATGAGAAGATTTCAAAAAGATAAGAGCAAGAATTTAGTAATTATATCAAAGAAGAATGAAAAATGTATAAAAGGATGAATCAATTAAAAAAATTACATGAGAAATATGGCAGGCTAAGACAACAGTAAAAATATTTCTCCATAGGTTGAAGGTCGAGATCAAAACACATCTTCTATGCTGAGAAGACTATATAATAGAAATGTAAAGGTTTTTCTTTTTCTGCCTGGTCTACATGAGTCAAGTAGGAAACATCAAAAAAAGAAAAAAGATGAAGTATAAACATACTACATCTGTGAAGCAGCATGTGTGGCAATCACAGTTAGAGTTGAACTGATATAACCAATTACTTCAATTAGTATAATGTAAAAATAATTAATGTCACATAATTAGTGTTTTTGATTATTCCAATCATCCAACAAGGCTAAATATCACCATTTTTATTTTACATTATTAATGTTAACATTCTCCTAATCTGAAAATGTATTTCTGATAGATACCTCCTCACATAATTTAGCTATTTTCTCAGCTCTTCCTCAAGTTCTGCCAAGATAGTTGCATGGCACTAGCCTTGTGAAAACTCCCATCTAATTTCACGTGATTTCACATGAATTTGTGCCACTGCATGATGACATCATCATACAGCAAAAGCCCTTCACCAATAGGAAGACAACACACTTCCATGCAGACTAACTCCTCCTATGCACTTGCATACGTAAATCTTCATTCTTTCACGAGGCAAGTAAGAAATGTGCAAGGGAAGTAGGAAGGATGCGTGGGAATGTGTGTAGAGGTATCTATCAGAAATACATTTTCAGGTAAGGAAAATGGTAACTTTCAAAACAAATACCTCTGCAGACAGTTTAGTCAGAACCCCACGTTGAGATGGTGGAAGGACCGGTGCAAAGATTACCTAGAAGAGTCCCCTTCAGAAAGCATCCAAAGGAAGCCCATGGGGTGTGACACCTGATGGCATGGGTTCCATAGGAGAACACCCATGAGAGACAGCATCTTGTCTCATCCAGGGTATACTTTCACCAGCATAGGAAAGACAGAGGCAAATAAGCCAGATTTACATCACTTGGACAGGCAGAATCAGTTCATAGCTGTCCGAGTACTTGCACAGAAAATATTGGACAACCAATGTGTGTAATGAGCTTGAGGCTTCAGTCAACCCTCATTTACTCGACCCTCAGTCTCTATGAGCCCCTTGCCAGCTGTAGGAGTAGGGTATGGGAGAAATATCTATGTGGAGTGACATGCACTATACTTTTGGTGTCACCACAGCCCAACTTCACACCGTAATGGTACCTCTTGTTCTAGCCCCAATGATAGTCCCAATTAGTGAGGATTCTCCATGATCCATCACTCCAGCAGTTAAGAAGAGGAAGCAAGCAAAAGCCAGAGAAGTAGGTAGAAACACTGCTCTGGTGCTGGCTATTTACATGATAGTCCATGAAATAGGTATGGTCTGAACTGGACAAGAAATGATGGTGAGGTGGTGAAAAATGGGGACCAGTGGAAGCTGAAAACCATCAGGAGATAAAACATCTACATGTTATAGAGATAAGATGGATGTGCGAAGAGAGTCCACATGAAAAGCTTGTCCAATGACCAGTGAAGGAGAGGTAAAAGAGAATGAAAAGGTGATGAACGGAAAGTGAGCATCATTACTCTGATACAAAAATGTCAATGAAGGAGTCAATGGGGCCAATCTTGGAAAGGAAGAAGGAAAGAGGTTTAAGGAAAACAGGGGTCCCAGGATAGTGACAGAAGAAGACAGGGACCCTTAACTATTTCCACAAAGGCTCAGTTGAATTGACCAAGTTTATGTTATTTTCTCTACCTTAACTATATACGAGGTTGATCAATTTGACCAACTTTGTAACCACCTGAAAAAAAAAATCTAAATAAATCTAGTTATAATTTTACTACATTGAGAATGAATTTCCGATAGGTACTTACCTCCCCTCACATAAATAGCTCTTCTCATACAGTGCTGCCCTCTATGTGCAAAAAAAAATGTTACAAGTGCCACAAGCCTTCTATCTCCCCTCCATTGGAATTGACAGATTCAAATACATTCCTTATGCAAATCATCATGCATCAACCCTCCACCAATAAGAGAGCGACATACTCTCATGACACATGTGAGTTCCTCTATTCAATTATACCAAACCATCACTTCGAGTTTTGGAAAAAGATGGAAGCTCCAGTTTTCAGTGAGGAGGAAGGGTGGGAAGTGTAAGGGGGAGATAAGTACCTATCAGAAATACATTTTCAGTGTAGTAAACTTATAACTTCCGATACGGTATATTACATCTGCTCACATAAATAGCTAGAATCCCACACTGAATAGGTGGAGGGACCAGTGCAAAGGAAAGAAAGAAGCATCTTTTGAAAGCATCTGAGGGATGCTTCCTATGATGAGACAGTCAGATTCTAAAATCTGATGTGAGGAACCGCATCACTTTTGAACCAGGTATACTCTTCGCCCATCGTATAAAGATGTTGCACATATGGGCGGAAAACAAAGTAGTACATTCAATTTGGGATTGAACCATACAGTATTTATGAAACTCAATCCCAGAAATTGTTAAATTGGGTAAAATGAAAAGGATGTGCCCCTAGGTGTAAAGTGGCTAGGATGCAACAGACCGTAAAAGGTAAGTCAACTACATCCAATACCCATGCTGCTGGGAACCGACATTCACGCAGGGATAAGATGAGGATCATACTGTTGGTAAGTCAACTATAATCAAAAATCCACCCACCAGACACCAATATTCATGTGGGGGTAGGAAAGAGGATCATACCACCAGCAAGTCAACTACAATCCAAAACCTAGACCACCGGGAACTGACAACCATATGGGAGTAGGAAATAGGATCATCCTGGTGGCAAGCCAACTACAATCCAAAGCCCCGCCATCTGGCAGGGGTAGGAAAGAAGATCATGCCATCTGTATCTCAAGTTCATGAGACCGGAGAGAATCTTGTACCCACTGACTCATGAATGGGGCACATGTGAATATGATAAATTGATAGATCGATCTGGGAACCTGAGATCTGGTATTGAAAATATGTCTACATAATGTAAACCATCCCCCTCAAAACTGAAATTGACCAGAACTAACCCAAGCACATTAAGATCCTCAGAATAAGAAACAACAAGGGATAGCAGAAGGGAAAGAACTGGAACAATCTGCAATTACCTCCACCGTGACACACAACACTGATGGAGTAAAAATGAGGGAGGACTATAGATATCTGTAATAGATGTGTAAGAACTTATGTTTTTGGTTCTACTCTGAATCCAAAACCCAGCCACTGGGAACCAACATCCACATGGGGATAGAATGAGGGATCCAAATCGAAGGGGTGAACTAATTTTGATGACTCACTCTCATTCGTGTTATATATTTCATATTGGAAGATATCACATCATTTACACCAGCAGAACACCACTGCACTACTCTCAACAGTATGGTTTTATAATCATTTCTATATTTTGTTTGTATTTCATTAACCAATTCAGGAGGATACCTCCATGGTCCACCACCCCAGCAGCTTGGAACTGGAAGGTGATAAGGACTCTCAAACTCCACTAGAAGAAAAGGGGATAAAATATGGCGGAGAGTCTGAAGGAACAAAAACACCTGAGACAGTGCAATGGGTAACCAAGAAACCCTATTTTTAAAAGCAATTTATTCAATGTAAGGCATGGGAGAGATTGGCAGCCATCCCCTTCTGCTTTACCCATGTAGTGACTGTACCAACCTTGGTACCTCTGTGCTGGACTTAACGTAGGATTCAAATTCGAGAGCTCTGGCCATTGCATCCTGCATGGTAGAGGGGTGTGCTTGCTTCACTTGTATCTTAAGTTGTGGACTGTCCAAGGCATCTACGAACTGATCCCTCAGCAACAACTTGAGGAGATCAGGTGGTGCAGTTGGATACGCCTTGTGTGCCATGCTTTCCAAGTCTTGTGCCAGCTCTTGCAGGCTCTCCCCTTTAGCACGGATTCTCGTCCTAAACCTAGCCCTGTAGACTTCTGACTGATTCTGGGTTCCGTACCTGAGTTCTAGAGCCTCTACCAGTGCTCTATATTTGTGTCTGTCGGCTGCTGTCAACTGTCCAAGTATTTCCAGTGGTTGTCCCTTCAAGCTCGTTGCCAGATACACAGCTTTCTGCTCCTCTGTCCCTCCATTCATCTCTGCCAGTAGCTCAAATTGTGCTCTATATGCTTCCCACGGTGCCTTCCCATCAAATTCCTGTGGCTTCCTTCGCACTGGATCACTCCTATTACTGACATTCATATCTGGGATGTGACTTCTAATGGGACTGAATATGTCTGCATTAGGGTTTAGCTGCGGGCTCTGTAAGGGGCTTGCCATTGTCTGGGGCTGATTATGTCGCTGGTCAATGTATCCTCCTTGTGTAAAAGACAATAGATCATCCTTTAACGCATCTAGTTCCCTTTTAAATTTACTAATGTTTTCCATTTGTACCTATTGCCATTGTTTTTGATTTTCCTGTAGTTGCTGCTGACTTTCT